AAACAAAACCCACTGCACACTGCTGCCAACTAGCGGTCGGCGTTTGGATTGCACCAAAATAAATTAAAATACACACGTTTGAATGTAAATTCTTCCTGAAAATTTGATACATGGCTTTTGAATATCGATATATTGCAGGAACAAATATTACAACATTTTCTTACATCCCAAGCTGTAGATTTAAAGTAGGAATATTTGTATTTAACTTAAGTGAAAATTTTTCTTTAATTTTCTAAATAAAATGTCCTGTGTTATAGACTTTTGTACTTCTATTACTATTTCTAGTAAATTACATTGTGTTTAATGGGAACCATCTAACTCCCAGTAAGGTCCGGTCAGTGTGGTGTACACTGGACTGTGTGGATTTTACTGTCGTTAGCTTGCCCAGTGTATTGAGTGGTACAAATATGCTGTATAAAATGGATGGGGGAGGTGGTGTAGAGCTTCTGTGAGCTTGTCAGACATGATTCATTGTGTACATAGTGGAAAATGGGTAGTCTTCATTTGAAAGTCAATGCCAAGGCTTAGATGTGCTCTGGGGGATCTAAAACTACATGTCAAAGTTATGATGGCATCCCTTGGGGGTTCCAGGGAAAACTTTCAAACTGTTTGTTTCTTCTTTTTTTTCTTCAAAACAAACATATCTTCAGACTTCCAGCATTTATGAGAGCATGTACACTCTCCTATACGAGAACTTTGTATATGCCCCCCACAATATGACAGTGTTCCTTTTACAGAGTGCTATGCCTTGCAGGGACATGTGGTGTAGTATCAAAATTGTGTCACGATATTTTCAAGAAATGTGCTATCATATTAGCAAATTACTATGTATGGTTTTTATGACCCATTGTGCATATTGATAATGTACACCTGTTGCTAGAAGGACACTGCAGCTTTGAATAGCAGGCCCCATTGAAACCAGAGACTAAAGGCTGATTCATGCTTCTCCGTCAGCTCCGCAAGGGACAGACACGCACGGATTGATGGAAGGGTTTTGCTCTCATACTTCTCCGTCTCCTGGGGAGTGTTGCAAAGCAATTCCCCGGCACGACAACAGAAGGCGTAGTGCTGTTATGTGCTATGCTCCTGTCATGTATCCAGTCCAAGATAGTGTTTATTAGGGATGAGCCGGATACTCGTTTCAGACGAGTATCCGGTACGGATAAAGCATTTTTGACGAGTACGAGCATGAAACGAGTAAAACCCTTAAATACCTGTAATCGTGCTAAAGGAAAATCCTCATTGGGTAACTGACTGTCTTAACGCTCTGTGATTGGCCAGTCAAATAGAGCGCCCACCCCTCCCTACACACAAAACTCAGCAGCCGGGAGCTCCCAGCTCAGTCCGTGTCCGGTCCATCCACGCACACGCACAGACAGTAACGGATCTTGTTGGGTATTTTTATTTAATCAATCCAGGCATACCTCAAAGAAAGTCCAACACACGCAAAGGGGTTAGAAATATTATGTTGTCAATACCATTTATCAATAAACTCTAATAATCAACAACCAGATTTTGCAAAACCGGAGAGAAATAAAGACGCACCAATGGGAGGTCTGTTTGTCTCTCTCTTCAAGCCGAAGCTCTCAAAAGGTTTTATTCACAAGTAACATAGCACACACACATTAAAGATAAGCTCACCCACTTTTTGTGATAACAGAACTGTAGACTTACAAGGCTGAACTTCCCTGCCGGAGCCAAAGGAGAATACCAAAATATAAACAAGGATTGAACCTTCATTTGACTTCAAGAACACCAGATGGCACCCAGACAAAATCATTTTCCATGCATCTAATACTGTATTCACCACTTTAAATGTGAATAAGGCTAATGAACTCTGTTTGAAAGAACAACATTATTAACAAGAGAAGGTGAAAATCAGTTTTTATCTAACAGATCTCTCTGTGCTTTCTTCACTGTTCATGTTTCTTCAGCACTGATGTTTTCTTCAGTTTGCTTCTTTTTAAAGTTACTTTAAAGTTATTTAAAGTTACCTTTTTCGTAACGTACGTGGTGCATTTGACAAGACAGCTGAAAATGGCTCGTGCTGCGTCGGTAACTGCCTCCGCCCCGGTCGGGGTTTTTCTTTCCCCTCTCTCCTCTTCCTCAGGATCCACTCCCTCTTTCCTATTCACTCTCTCTCTTTCTTTACAATTTTTAATCACAATTGTCTATTTTTTGCTCATTTAAAATATATTTTAATCATTTTCTAAATTCTTTTTTCTATTTTACATGTTTTGTTTTTGTGAAGCGCCCGTGATTTTTATCTTGAGAGGCGCTATAGAAAAGATCTTTTCCACTGCTAAGTGGAATTTAGTGCCAGGTATTAGCCTAGTAGCCACATAATTCATGTCTATGGTGGTAGGGTTCTTTTGGGGCTATTCTAGGGCAATCAACTTCATTTTACTTAGGGGTGGAATGTCTCTAAGTAAGTGAAAAATTGTGATTTTGACATTGTAAATGATGCATCACAAAACCCTCTATGAACAGGTGATGCATTTGGGGTGGTGGAATGAATAGAATAGACTTCATAACATAAAAGTAACATCCAAGCACTCTTCTTTTTTATATTAGTTTAAAAATCCATAACCAAGTTATAATTTATAATCAGCTGAAGAAATGTGAACCTAACATATAGCTATATATATATCAGCAAAGTTAAGGTCTTAAAGTGCTAATGTATCAGTGTCAGACACAGCAATCTGCAGCAGTTAGCCCATTAATAACCCATCTAGCCCTTGGATGACACAAAGAAGTTGATGATTGTGCCTACAAATATGGTAATGCGTCTAGTGTGTTTAAATGTTAGTGCTAGAAGGGAAATGGGACAGCTGCTGCTGATAGAGTTGCTACTTTGAACTTCACTATAACACATCTTGCATAATTAATGGAAAATTACGATATTAATAATGCCTTATCATCCAAAGTTAATGTGTCTACAGGGGATTGGTGAGGGTTTGAATTCTAGCTTTAAACATTACTTTAGAAAAATTTTACATGTACACTTCAAACCAAAAGGTTTCTGCTTTCAGATTAATCGGAACATTTTCATGTTTAATCCACTAAACAAGACCAAGCAATTGACTGAAACTTTCTTAGTAATGAACGTTTTGTTTTGAACAGAACATTGATGAAATCTTTAAAGGCGTGGTTCACTCATTATAGTCGGTCACTCTGAGTTTTTCATGCTGTCTAAACATGAAAATAGTCTCTTGTATTAGCTTCTGATAGGAAAAAAGACGGTGAAAATCTAGGACCTGAAAATCCTCACAGATCTATGTCACACTTTGAATTAGCGTTCATGGACTCACAGATCTTGACCCACAATGGGGAAGGCTATTGTTGTTTTAATGTCCAGGAAACAGCAGCGGACATCTCGGCTAGTTTATGCTAACCTTTAGCATTAGCAACTTCACCACGTGGCAGAAGGTCCTCCATGCAGAGCAAACAGAGTTAGTGGTAGTGTTACATTGCTGTTATCTACTTTGGGGTGAGATGTCCAACTATCAGAAAATAAGACTAAAGCCTGCTGTCTGAAGCTCAGCTGTGATGTGGGCAACTTTTAGGTCTGAGAAATGGTGCACAGTAATGAGTAGAGGACCCAGAAAACATGGTTTTCTGTGAGACAGACAACAAGATGGTCAAATCATTGGTTTCGAACTCAGCCGTGCTATTTGCTGAGGTTTTGAGACAAATGCGAGAGAACCACTTAAATAATTATTTTTTTTAATCTCCACAATATATTTATTGCTATAGCGCGTTAAAAGGTTGTTAAGAGACATAGAAAAATTAAGCTAGTTTGTTTAGCAGATTTGCCGTTCACTTCAAAAAGCCCATTTGTACTAGAGAAATTTTCATTTTAACTACACATGCTATTATGGTGCACAGACTTTTTCTACACTTTGCCATGCAAAATGTGTTTGAATGATAAAAAATGGCTTTAAAGATGAAAATGTGCAAAAAACCTGGAGGCATCAGGGAGTTCATGGAGGCAACATAAGTCACAAAGTCAAGCAACAAAAGTCACAAACTTTCGGTGTCTAATGTTGGTCCTGCACATCACAGTGACGCGCTTCTCTTCTGGTAGAACCATAACCTCCAGTGAGTAGCACGTGTGCTCTGAAGTCTGTCACAACAGTGCCATTGTTGTCAGACTGTGTGTCACTCCACTAGAACAAGGAAGCAGGGTCACCATACTGCTGTCAGTCATGTCTCTCTCTCCATTGAAGTGAGATGAGCAGGCACAGGAGGATTGAGATTGCCAGAAAAGTACAGCTCAGTGTGAGTGGAGTCAAATGTGTGAATCACTTCTGCATACCAATAAAGGTGAGGGATAAAAAGGTGCATTAAATGCATTTCAGGTTACACTTATCAGAATGTGTTTGTGGATTGTAATGAGGAGTCTGAGAATGCTGATACAAGTCACGCATTTGTCATGCCTTTCCTTGCTTGAACTAAGTTGTATCTGACAGACATTTTTATCGGGCATGTTTCTCCCACAAAGTCCTGTTGTATTTAATTCATGTCATGTAAAGGTCAGACTTGTTCCCGCACAACACAATGAATAATTGAAAATGCGTTTATAGTAGAGGTGTAAAGTGAACTTTCCCATTCTCATACAAAAATATTTGAACGGCGTCTCTGCACGAGAGCTGCTGAAGATCTTATCTCTTCACTACATCACAGTTACTTGATTTGGACACTCACCTTAATTAATCCACAGCCTTTACTTTAATTGCCTTAACATATTGGCTCTTTGTCTTTCTTATCTAGATTTTCTCATGACATCTATTTCCCCATAATTGATTCAAAAGGAGATCTAATCTCATTGCTGAGTGTGTGGCAAGTATTGATAGCTTTAGTTTAAACCAGCGACAGTTTTGCAGTTCTTATTGTCTACACTAATTACAACATGCTTGATGAATTGGCTAGGCCAGCAGGTATTGAACCTGCAGAGTGTTGGGAGAAGAAACTCACTATTTTTGTTTTGTTTCTGACAGGAGAAGTCCAATGAAGACAGCCCAATGGTGGTCGCTTGCTGTCTTAGTGTTGGGACTCACTGTGCTTGGCACCAGTGGGAGACCCAACAAGGAGGAGTTTGGATCACAACCCTATCGACCAGTCATTAAATTCCGGCACAAGGTATTGATTCATCTTTTTTTTTCCATTTACTGTCTACAATAATGAGACTTTGTGCCAAAAATGAGGATAATTACAGTGGGACTTTCTTGTTGCATTAGATAACTATTCTATTCTACTGAAATAATACTAATAAAGACAGAAATTATAATCCCTCCTTCTGTGCCAGGAGACATACTTTGCAAAGTCATCATCAGATTCATGTTAAGCACATCTGGCACAGTGAAGACGTTTTCATCATATTTTAGCTGAATGTTATAAGTGGAACATGTAATTGAATGCTCATTGAGCAAGTGTAGGGTGCAGATCCCCAATTCAAAACCTGCCTCTTTTATTCATTTCACCCGCTGCCTTTTCAAGAAAAAAAAATAATTTTTAATTATCTAAACTAATTGCATGCAGTGGTTTATTTTTCCACTTTGACTGGTTTGAAAGGGGGAATTTTTTGTAAAACACACCCTTTGCATTCTTTTGTGCTGCGATGTGGGTCTCCACTGTCTCTTTAAATACTCCAAACATAAAAAAATGTATGCGCCTAAAGGACACCAGATCAAAAAGTCCCCATTTGTGATGTCACAAATGGGGGAATTGGCCATAGAACCACCTCTCACATGCAAAAGACTGGTGCTGCTGGAGGAGCAGCAGCTTTACTCCACGCCCCTCAGTCGCTTTTGAGCTTCTCAGCTTATAGCAGCCTGATTGGGATGGGTGGGCGTGGCCAGCTGCAGCTTGTTTTCTTAAAGTGACAGAGCCCTGAAACTGCTCTATGTGAAAAGGATTTAGTCCAAAACACTTCATAAACATATGTTGTATTGACCTTGTAACTTAAAAAAGAAAGTTGTATAACCTTTATTTTAAGTCAAATCTGTTAGAGCAAATTGTAGAAAAGGGTTCAAATTGTAGACCTTGAGTTAAAGTGACACTATGTAGTTTTTAACCATTAATCTCTAGAAATATCCATTGCAATGTTGTTGTAAATGAATTAAAAGACACCCTGTTGTTGAAAATTATTGGTGGTTTCATAACATATAACCATAAAAACTGGGAGCGGGTCTAAGTCTCTGGGCAATGCCACATTGGATGCCATGTTTCCTCCTACGGAAGCCCGTGAGGGCAGAAGACATTTACTGATTTGTAATAAAAGGTTACAAAACTTTCAGAATTAATAACGTTGTTCTTTTACACATTTACCTCTTCACTCATTGCAAGTGGTGAAAGTTAATCTGATCTAATGGCCATCTGTTGGTAAGGTCTTACTTGAACACAAAAATAATGCTTGCTTGCAGTGATGTAAGTATCTACTGCCCCCTATCGCCAGAGAAACTACACACTGTCACTTTAAGAGGAGTTGAATATTTTATTCAGAAACTGGATTGAGGGTTTTGCCCCCCCCCCCCCCCCCCCTAAAAAACAAGAACAAAAACATACATGTTTACATTTTTATTCATTGATACACACTCCCCTTGTCCTGACTGATGATAGGAATTAGAAGGTGTTATGTTTGCTAGGTCTGCTTTACAACTTCTGACTAAATTAAGCTTTTAAGATTATTTTCAGGGGGGTAAGGAAAGAAAACCTACTTGGAATAAAAGGATAAAGAGACTGGTTTAGGGTGATGTTGGGACAAGATGAGGAAAGCACAAGAGGTTTTCAGAGGAAACAGATGGTGGGAACGTCATTGGACTGTATCAGAGCTAAATAAGATGCCAAATGTGACAAAAAGCGATTAAATAAGCACAAAGGTCAGACATGTTCTGACCTTTAAAACACAATCTTGTGAAAACAAACTAAAACATGTGGACTGCTATTCCAATTTAGGAAAGTTATGCTTTATTTCACTAAATAGTCCTTTAAGAGCTGTATTAAATATTAGGAGAAGCAAGACAGTGTTTGATGTGAGTCTGAAAGAGCTGAATCGCAATTCAAATCATCCTTATTTCCATTGTGGTGACCACAGGTTCACTCCTTAACACACATCCGGGGTTGAATCAAAGCATGGAAAGAAAAGAAAAAGTTTCCCAGAGTTTCTCTGTTATATGTTGTAAAGGAGATACTTTGAAGTCTATGGAGCATGTAATGTGATTTTTTTTGCACTATGTTCACACTATTTGGATCAGGATTTCAGGGAGAGAGCATTTCTCCATCGATACTCTAAAGTGCAGCTGATCTTAGTAGAGAAGTGTTCTGTTACTGGAATCTGCTGAATCCGTTTAAAGATGGATGAGCCCTTATGGAATGAGACTGTCTGTATGTAAAGCTGTAAGGCTTGGTGGGACAGTTTGTAAAATGCGTAAAAAGACAAAACCGAATTAAAAGAAATCTGCATTGATTCAGTTAGTAAAACATTGTTAAAGATCAGTTGAGGCAAACAAAATTGGGGAAATTTAACAGATTATATCCAAGTGTGTTAATCATTAAAAGTTTAAATCACCTTAAATCTGATTTAGATCAAAATCAAATGTCTTTATTGGTAAATAACTGCTAAAAAAAACTTATCTAATGTGTCAGCATCTATGTTAAACAGCCATTTCTTGTTTTTCCTTCAGAAAAAAAAGTTCCTTTTTTAACTTGCAGGTGTAGAAATAGTTACCCAAAATGTGGACGTTTCTGCATGAAATGTGAGCTAAGGCCGACCTGATAGCACATGAAATGCTTCACAAAAAAACTGAAACATCGTTCTTTGTTTTGCCACAATATGATTTTACAGCTAAAAATTCTTTATCAAATATGACTTCCTTGCTATTCTTACAAAACATAACACTTTAATGACAGAAGTTAACAGCTCATGTAGCCTTGCTTTATTAAATTTCACCATTCTTCTCTAGTTCTTCTTTTTCAGTGTGGAGGGACATTGAAGCAGACGGCCACAGACACACAAGGTCAGACAGATAAAAACAGAGGAATAACAGGCTTTGCTGGAAAATAACAATTCAAAACACAATGAGGAGAAAAGCAATGCAGTTGCTTTTTTCTGCCTTTTCATTTTTCCGCAGTGAAGAAGGAACTGTAGTCAGGCATATTTAATGTTGTCACATAAATAAAAAAGCATGAAACCATTTTTTTCCCTTTTTAATTAATTTGGTTTAGGAGGATGCAAGGATCCAGTCAGCAGGCATAGTGAATATTTGTGTGTGACAAAAGCAGCATCTCCGGAATGGAAGGCAGCATTTTAATCATTTTTGCAGTAAAAATACGTATTGCAGGTTTCTCCAAATAGGTTTTGGGCTGATAAATAAGGATAAGGATGCTTGATATCATCAGCAGGTGGAGTCTATGTTGTGATTTTGCATGACTGTACAACATTTTTATATGCAAGTATAACTCTAATGAAAGAAACAGAAGCTGCATCCCCAACTGAGAACAACATATTCAAGAGAAAAAAATGGGAAATATTTCTTATACATTAATTTCTACTTCTTTAAAGGGGACATATGCAAAACTTGTCTTTCGCATCCTTTTGTGTTGCCTCATGGGCCTCTACTGCATCTATAAACACTCCAAATAGGAAAAAAAACACAGTCCATTTGTTTTCTGTCAGTACGTCGTTTTAGGATGGCTTAAAACTAGCTATTTCAAAAACGTCCCAGTTTGTGACGTCACAAATGTGACTATTAGTATAGAACCACTTCTCACCTCTCCAGGCCGGAGGAGCAGCTGCTCCAATCTGAGCCCTTCTCAGATATTGAGCTCCTCACCTACAGCAGCCTATCAAGGAATGGGTGAGCGTGGCAGGCTGCAGCTTGTTTTCTTAAAAGGGCAGAGCCTTGAAAAATGCACATTCTAGAAGGCCCTCTCGTCTCATCTTCTTCCACCTATCTGGGTCCGGGTCGCAGAGGCATAATCCCAACTAGGGCGTTCCAGATCGTCCTCTCCCCAGCCACTTCCACCAGCTCCTCCTACGGGACCCCAAGGCAGGACATGCCTCAAACACCTCCCTGGGGAGGTGTCCAGAATGCATCCCAACAAGATGCCCAAACCACCTCAACTGACTCCTGTCGATATGGAGGAGCAGTGGCTATATTCCGAGTCTCTCCCGAATATCCGAGCTTCGCACCCTATCCCTAAGGCTGAATCCAGCTACCCCGTGGAGAAAACTCATTTTGGCCACTTGTATCTTCGATCTTGTTCTTTCAGTCATTACCCAAAGCTTATGACCATAGGTGAGGACTGGGTGGTAGATCGACTGGTAAATCAAGATCCTTAGTTTCTGGCTCAGCTCCTTTTTCACCACAACATACTGGCTCAGCGTCTGCATCACTGCAGATGCTGCCCCAATCCACCTGTGGATCTCTCTGTCCCTCCTTCCCTCACTCGTGGACAAGACCCTGAGGTACTTGAACTACTCCACTTGAGGCAGGACCTCTCTCCCGACCTGGAGCTGGCAAGCTGCCCTTTTCTGGTCAATAACCATGGTCTCAGACTTGGAGGTGCTGATCCTTATCTCAGCCACTTCACACTCGGCTGCGAACTTCCCCAGCAAGTGCTGTAGGTCGGAGTCTGATGACGCAAGGAGGACCACATCATCCACATAAAGCAGAGATGAGATTCTCCAGCCACCAACTTCACACCCTCAACACCTTGGGTGCGCCTAGAAATCCTGTCCATAAACATTACGAACAGGTCTGTTGACAAAGAGCAGCCCTGGTGGAGTCCAACCCTCACTGCGAAATGGTCCGGCATACTGCCGGCTATGCGGACCAAACACACTCCTCTGGTACAGGGACTGAATGGCCCTTCACAAAAGATCATCCACCCCATACTCCTAGAGCTCCCCCTACAGGGTCTGGGGACACGGTCATAAGCCTTCTCCAAATCCACAAAACACATGTGGATTGGTTGCCACGCCACAGGAACTGTCCCCGATGACCACGCAATGTTGCAGAGCTGTGTCAACCAAGACAGTCCTACAACATCCAAAGTCCTGAGATACCTAAGTTGGATTTCATCCTCCCCAGGGGCTCTGTCGCTGCGTAGCTGTTTGACTACCTCAGCGACTTCTGACC